ATAACTTAAAAACAGCTGTAGTAAAAGTACTACAAGTTCAATAACATAATACGGCATTACTTTCATATTCAATATAGTTAATGGTATTGTGCATTTCAATTTTTTGAAGCATCGATACACATCGCTTATTTGCTCTCACTAGCAAATATAAAATGCATAACCAAAACAACAATTTTACGAAAACGAAAAACATGATCATAATACACTCTTATTACATGTGTGCAGTATTTCAATGTATAATATTTTCCTAGTGGAGAAAACTTGTCCTCTGCCCCTTGGTGGAAACACTCATTAAAAACACGCAAATTCACTTCAAACACTCAAAATCTAATACACACACATACACACACACACACACACACACAAATCCACAGAGAAGTGACACGGCTGGGCAGATAAAATGCCGATAGGCATCATCGTACCGTCAGGATGGCCGAGCGGTCTAAGGCGCTGCGTTCAGGTCGCAGTCCACTCTGTGGGCGTGGGTTCGAATCCCACTTCTGACATAAATTTTTACATTGGCCAAAGTCTTTCAAACTATCGAAAACACTGAAATAAGCATCATTAAGTTTCGCAATAATGGAATAATTTTCGAAATTCGCTCCTTTCAAAGCAATGGTAACTATTTAAGGCATTTATTTATTTTTTTGATACTATTTGATGTCTGTTTCATTTACTTACTCAAATACGGACTTTAAAAAAGATAGGAATTTCGAAAAAAAGTGCAAATTTTTTGACTGGAAAAAGTTTTATGGGTCACTTATACCGAAAAATCGAATTTTCTTGTTTCAGGAGTAGTAACCTAGAGGCCTGCAATTGCAAAACCGCCAGAGAACAAACCCACGCCCAATTGTTTCCCAAAAATAGCATGTTTAGTGTTCAAGCAAAATGAAAAATTTTCGAATAACATAACAATAAATTAAATATTTTAAGAAATATACTGCAATAACATTGTGCAGTATATGAAAATATACTGCAATAACATATTCAGTTCAACATATAAAAAATACCCCAAAAGTTGCTGTTCCATAATGGAAGTAGTATATACATACATATTATATAGATATATAGATATAGATATATATGACACCTTCATTGTTTTTTATTTAAAAAATTGTTTCACAAAACATTATTTTTAATTTAGTGTCGATAGTAACTCCAACTTGCCTTCGTATGCTTCCAAGGGTTGTTTCTAATTTTGCAGAAAAGGTATATCCAAAAACGTAATAGCTGGCAAATAATATTATCCCACTTTCAATAACGAATTCACAGAATACTGAAACTTTTTTTTCCAGTATTACAGTTATTTATTCTGGACTTACTACGTAACACTCATTTCCTAAACTTCAGTTTTTGTCTTAATTTGTTTGGTCCAGTGTTATATTTAAACAGTCACTTGAAATCGCACATCCGTCAATAGATGGAGAATAACAAGTTTCACGTATCTTGAAAATAATATTAATAATGAAAATAATATTAAATAAATAATACTAATTAATATTAATCAGACTTCACCTTGACAAATCCAATATGCCTGAATTGCTTCAGCTTCTCTAATATTAACCGCCAACCGCTAAAGGAAACGACTCTGATGTGAACAGAAAGCGAAGAATAACATTCATACGTTTCCGAAGCTTTGAAATCAGAAAGTTATGACGTTTCTTTGATTTTTCACAAGTTATAGAAATGGATTTTCGGAATATGAATGTATCCCAAACACTTTACCTGAAATAAGGAAACCCTTTGTCTTGCCTGCAGGGGACCGGAAGTGTTTGGAATTTCCTAAACCGTTCCCAAAATAAAGCCAGACGACACCCTACATAAGGCTAACGTTGCAAAAACGCAGTACAACTGAGAATAGTGAATGTTCAAACACAATATTAAACTAAATGGTTTTGTAGAAAGAATGATGAATTACTGCAGAGAATATAATATAAAGAAATAAAAATTATATTTTAAATTTATTGAACGTTAGTTAAAATAGTGTAATAAAATATTTCTAAGTTTTAAAACTGCAACTATGTTCCATGTGTTCCATATTGATATATAAAATCTGCGTGAATTTTAATTCAAACATTACATTTAATGTACAAACACATTAATCTCGTTTTAATGTACAAATTACATTATTTTTCATGCACAGTCGTACATTAAATCTGCATTGATTTTCATTTAATCATTAAATTTAATGTACAAATACATTAATATCCTCTTAATGTACAAAATACATTTAATACATTTCTTTCCTGTCACCTCGCCAACATATTCCGTTAATTCTTGCGGGAGTTGTGCGAAATAATTGTAACTGCCTCACAAACGAGAATCGGTTGACCAGAGTTGGAAAAATTCACCTTTCCTGTTTTTAAGCGGCCATTTTGCCGCTTGTAAGGAGACGTCTACAGGCGTGCACTATTTATGAAGGTATAAGGTCGTACCTTAGGCCTATGGTAAGATGTTATGACTTCAAGGTCTATTACGTGACTGTTACTCGTAGTGCAGAACGCCGCTACTTACGCGTGGCGCTAAAACTCCATATTGTGATTTCTTCTGGTAATTGGATTGGCACGCTCGCTTATGGTACGTCTTGACACTTGGTTGGTGGCTTTGTATTTTGTACTGTATTTGTAAAGCGGTATTTGGCCGCTCGGATTAAACTGTTTTATAGATTTGTACTTTTGTTTTGTTTTCTGAGTCTCCTAGAACACAACAAATAACATTTCAACAGCTTACATTCGTATGACAATAACCGAAGCAAGGTGCTTGTTAAAGTTTCTCGGTTCGTTCTCCTTACATATTGCGATTTCGTTTTTAAATTATTAGGTTTTGGTCGTGAAATACGAGAATTTATATTACGCGCAGCCCCCGCCCAGCTGGCTTTAACCAGCGCCAAACGGAATACTAGAATGTCTCAAGAGGGCGCTGCTTTGTCTGCAAATAATGCGTCTGCAAGGAAGAAAGCACTTTAGCCACTCTATGTAGTACATTCTAGCTCATTGGTAACGCCTCATTCACAATGCAAACTTAAATGTAAACGTAACGTAGCCGCAAAACCTAAAAATAAATAATTAAGAGAGACCATTAACAACGCCGTAACCGTAGAATTGGGAAGAAATGAGGTGAAAGGTTTAGGTCGCTTTACCCTGGTTGGGCTAGCCCATGAGAAGCATGTTAACTCGTTTTGTTGTAACGAATTTCACACGAGGTTCTACGGGGATTCTATGGGAACCTCAAACCTCAAACCCGGAACCTCAGTGTTGAAAGGCGAGCGACATCGCTACTGAGCCACGAGAGCATTCAACTTGACATGGCGAATACGGTTACTACGTTCGATGAATTACTGGTGAATTTAGTTCGAGCGAGTAACAAGGAGGTAGTGATGAAAGAAAACACGTGGTTAAAATTTCTCTAGAAAAGCCGAAGAAAAAAAAAAAAACTAAAGGAAATAGGATCAAGAAGTGGGGTTGGACCATCACCCCCCCAAAAAAAAGGTTGGCATTTAATGGAAGTCATGCCTTTTCTTAATGACCATATAGCCAAGAGCGCCTTATAATAATTTTAATACAAAGGATTGTGTGAAACCGAAACGTTTGTGCCAGATGACTGAAGTGGACTTTGTGACTGTAGGAGAGGCCTGCAGCCGCAGTGACAAACTCACCTGTCATATTCTAGAGGTAATTACCTCACCTTCTCTGCGGAAAAGGAAACATCAATAGATGATGCATCAATTCTCCAGTCGTTGTAGGCTGTTGCGGAAGCAAGTAAGAGAGTTGGTGATCTGGGCTGTCCGGGTGACGCCGCGTCGAAGGCTGAGTTGCCGACGTTTCGACCATCCTGTCGTGGTCTTCCTCAGGGCTGGTAAGGGGAAGACCACGACAGGATGGTCGAAACGTCGGCAACTCAGCCTTCGACGCGGCGTCACCCGGACAGCCCAGATCACCCACATGACTCTGGACGTGGAAGCCTACGACTTCAAGTAAGAGAGTTACTGAAACTCTTACTTGAAGAAAAAAAACTGACTAGTTGACGGGAGTCATTTGCTCAGCTTATTTGTGAAAACTTTCACCACCGAGTAGCATACTAACATACAGTTATACCGGCTATTTCTAACTACAACCTCAGTCAACGATATAGTTGACATCTCTAATTTTCGCATCAGAGTGGTTGACGTACCAAAGTAGTGTATATATCAGAGCATGAAATACACATTTTTCCCTATTGTGTTTTTCTAATCTTTCGCGCCAACATCATACTAATGTACTACTTTGTTGTTCCTCGTCACGTGGGCACTTGTTACAATACTGTGGTAATTTTGTTACAATATCAATCCCAGACACTGTGCAGGATTGGTTAACTGAGCACGCGTGTACTGCGGAAATCCCCCAGGACCCGTTGGGCCACGTGGGGGGAGAAGGTCCCCCAAAGGCATCGCCTTCCACCTCGTTTTCCTCTATTCCTTCCGGTCTCGCGCCCGGGAGATGTGGCTCAGGGCATCAACTGATTTCAATGCAGTGCTGACCGGGAGTTCCTAAGTTCGAGTCCCAACACAATTTTCGACAACAACTACAGAAATAGGTCACATTCTGTCTCTGTCTGAAGGAGAATTCTAGCAACCGGCTGTTCTGATAGGTAATTTTCCGTGGTTTCCCCTACCAATACCAGGAGAATGTCGCAGCACTACCCCATCAAACGAGCCATGGGCCGAGCGCGATCTTTACTCTCTCTTCCTTGTCATATCCTCATCTTTTACTAACGCACACATTCACTACACTAACACACATGCCGAAAGACTGTTCGGGAGCCCAGGGCTTGTTCCAACTGGTGGAAGATACCTGATCCTGTACAATTTTTTATTATTTTAAAGAACTCCTTTTTATTATTTTAAAGCTACATTGTGCAAAATAAAACAGCACAAAACCAGAGATGGTATCTTGTGTGTAGCTAACCTCACTCTGCTTTGTAAAATCGGAAAGCGTTGCTTTAGTTGCACGAAACATCGTTCAATGGTAACTCGCTCTCTTTTCGAACATGTATTGAAAGAGAATTGCTCTAGTGTTACAGGTGTTTTATATGGCACCATGAGTCATGAAGCAATTCCACAGTCTGAATCGTCAAGTAGCAACATGTCGCGTTGGCCTGGTATTAACCTGCGTGAATGGGAATTCTTCCAAATGCTAGAATCATGCACTGATTCAGGCCAAGAAGCGTCCATTCTGGTTAATTCTTCTTTAGCATTGCCTGTTGCTTTAATATTAGAATGAAGGCATTTTCTATTGTTGTAATCATCAGCATGAGTAAGTGGCTTCTTATTCAGAATATGTGTAGTCATGAGCACCAATTGCATTGGGGAAAGTGTATCTCTCCTGCCATAGTTCTCTTGCACGATGGAGATCTATTGCAGTTCTAGGGAACTGTATTCAATACTGAGTTTTTTCTTTTATTTTCTCAATGACGAAACTAAACCTCTTGCTAACTGTGGACATATCCATACCAACATCTGCCGCTCCTACCTGAAAACCAGGATCGGCCACGTACCGAAGTAAAATTTTCATTTTTTGTTCATTGGTTAGAGCTCCGCCTCTTGTTCAGAGAAAATGTTGTGTCAACCATACAACATTGTCCTTTTCGAATCGGTAAAGATTCTTATAATCCACGTCACAAGAATCTCCCGGTATCTTGTAATTTTTTTTGCTCTGCTGCTACTGAATCTGAGCATACGGTATATGCACGGCCATTTTAACCTTACTTTTCAAACGTGAGTCTTAAGGTCGCATTAATTACTAGGTCATTAGCTACCACTATTGCGTGTAAGTGTATGGTAACTATGAGGATGACACGATGTGATGATGACAGGGGTGTGAAATGACGAACACAATACAACCATGCCCGAGGCGGGACTCGAACCCGCAATACTTCGATCCGAGATCGCTACGGCACTACTGCCTTACCGGTCTCGGCCATCCGGACCGGCAGACGCTTCACTTTATTCACACCAATTCTGAGCATTTGCACGCAAGTTGAAAGGACGCTGAGTGACGAAGCATGTGCTCAAAGACTGAGGAATTGCTCACCCACTTTATTCATACGAAATTGAGGAGGATCTCCAAATCTCAGTGCAAAGAGTAATTGCTTACTTTTATTCATACCACGCATTCATGCGCCTCCATTGAAGTTTGAATTCTGAGTAAAGGTAGAACCGAGAGACTCGGCAAACCCTTACGCCAAATACTGAGCAATAAAGAGGAAAATAATATCTATTTTGACACAGATATGTAAGCTTAAGTAACATTTGTATTGAATATTTATAAAAAGTGTAAATATGCCTATTATATGTATTGTACTTCATTGTGGATCAATGATAACGTGCAATCAGGTTTTTTGTGCAGTTTCTCTTATCCATTGAGCATATGCTAAGATGCCCCATTGTTTTACTTCTGAACATAAATGTAGTTTCACTATGTGTCCACGAATCATGGAGCTCTTCTTATGTTCGTTGTGATAGGGGTAGAACCGGGGATGTGGGTTTCTATTTTGTTACCAACCCAATAAAATCAAATCTGTAGTGAGTTTACAATTTAATTCGTTTTCTTTTACTCTGGAGCAAACGTTTCTAGATTTCAAACACTGCTAACCATACTTTGTCGGTACTTTCATTCATCTTTGAACTATTTACAGTAAAAGGGGTAAGGGATTCTGGTGCACGAGAAAACCCGCTCATATTATATTTCCCCCCGTACGTCATATATAGTTTTTACTGTTTTTTGACAAAAATAAATCAATTCCATAGAATACTATATTCGACATTCAATAATCAAATTTTATTTTACAAAACCGTAAGCCCTGAATTACTGTTACTATCAGTCAAAAATTTTGACAATCTATAAACGCTGATGTCGACCATCTATTAGAATGGATCATTCATGAACATCGCAAACAGCTGATAAAGATGTGTAACCTGACAATGAATTACGCAATTATGGCAGATACTAGATCTATCGCCTTCATTGTCTTCCCTGTGGCATATTTCCCAAAAATTCATTTGTAGGCAATGCGTTTCCCGCAATTGTGAAATGTCCAGCGAATACACATTCAAAATAATTGGCCAATGCCAATATATATTTCCGTTAGTTTCATAAATCTCGCTGTGAAAAGACACTTATCATGGAGATGCTTCTCTCTCGATTCACATGACGCAGACTTGAACGTTGCTCATTATTTTTAAAAGAGTTAAGAAAAGATAAGAACTGCAAGACAAGAAAAGAGAACTAATGTTGAAGGGAGATTTAAATATATGATGTGCCATTATTTTTAAATATTTTCCGCCTTAAAATTTTATAAAAATATTTTAAGTTGCTAGAAATTTGAAACATTTCTATATTTTTATTATCTATTTCAGAAGCAACGACGAAGTTGTTGCTATTGAAGCCGCCGATTACAAAATTATTGGAAGCAAATAATACAAAATTATCTAATATTTTTAAGCCCTCTTTTTTAGATGTTGGCCAACCACAATTAAGCGGATCCAAATTTCTTTCAATATTTTATTCAATGAAAACTGACATGGTATTTCGGAGACTATTCCCTATTTCTAATCAGGGGCCACAATTCAAAAATGAATTTATAAAATTAGTTCATTACTGAAGAAAATAAAATATTTACAATATTGTTTAAAAACAATATTGTAAATATTTTATCTTCTTCGTTAATGAACTTATTTTGTAAATTCATTTTGCCGGTTTTGCCGCAAGAGCATACAAATTACAAACATAACATCATACCCAATTCACCCAAGATCACCTATTATTCTATACATAAACTAGAGATTGGATATATTTCTCACACAATTGCTCGTCAACTACTCATTTTTTCAACAAATTATACATGATCTTATTTCAAGATCAATTTTTATGAAACGTATTTCATTAAGGAAAAATCTCCCCAAAATTTTTGAAGCAGGAAGATGTTAAAAAAGTTGCACTTATACATTTTTCGAAAAATCTGGGTTTTCACTGAACATGAGATCTACTCCACTGTTTTAAGCGTTCTATACGCTACCCGAAAACAAAGTTTAATAAAATATTGGTTCTAGTGTGTAGAACATTTTAAACATGTTTTTGACGCTTCGTGTAAAGTGCCCTCAAAAATCAAAATATCCAGTTGAAACTCCCAAAGCCTACAGTTTGTTCAGATTGATCAGGAATATCAATTTTAGAGAAAATTGGCTGAACGCTTTAGGCTCTAGCGTTGATCACAGACGCATGGACGGTCAGACGTTTAGACATCAATCGATTTTTCGGTATCAAGAACTCTCAAAACATTTCTGACAATATAATATTCTAAAGGAAGTAATTTACTATACATAGGAACATCATTTATCCAGTTTTTCATTACCAGGACTCGGCAAGAAGAGTATTTTCTGCCGAATATTCGCAATTTTCTTCAATGTGTCCATAATCTTATTGCAGATGTCTAAACAGAATTCTTAGTTTTACTTTCTCGCACTTACTTTATATGAAAAGAAAGTTATAAGTTCGCCGGAAAACGGCGAATATTCGTCAAAAGCACTTATTGCGGAGCGCAAGGGGAAAACGTGCATAAATCCTATTCGTATGTATAATAAATTACTTCCCCTAACACAGAATCTATGTTTTGTATGTCGATGTACGTGATGAAATGCTGTCCAGCCCAGTGAGCGTTTAAATACAGCGTTTGCAAATAAACAGGAATAATGGAAATGAGGGGAGAATTGAAAAATAAAATTTTGTAATGACTGGTCCTGATATTTAAAAAAGAATATATTCCCGAAAATATTTAATTTATAATCGTAGACTTGGAGAATTGATTGAATTCAATGTATTCGTAGTGTGAATTATCATTGAATAATCATTGAATAAGCCAAATTTGGATGTGTTGGATGTGTTTAATTGTGGTTGTTCAAAATATAAAAATGTAGCCGAAAAATATTGGAAAATATAAAGTAAAAGGGACGAATACATCAAAACTTGTGTCTCATTAAGTAGAAAATTGTCTACAAATAAATAAAATTCAACATTGGAATCAATATTTAACAAACGTGTTCAAGAATTATTTTCTCCAACTCGCCGGTCACGTGAAACGTAACGTGCTAGAAATATGAAGTGTATTCTTAAAGTAAGTTTTTCCAGGTCGTCAAGAAAAACAACACCACAATTTCAAATTCAAACACTTAGCAGAGGAATCGCTTCAGAAGATAAGCTGCGAGCCGAGCTGAGTGTGTCCGACCGTATGCTGAAGAAATGAAATGGTCTGCTGGGAGATACCTGGTTTAGGAAAACCCCTGCGGTCAGCGCTGGATCTCGCCTCCCGAGATAACAAACAGACTCTACACCTACGAAACGAATGACCTTCACAGCTGATGCGCCCGATATCACTAATCAATTAATCAACCTCTAAAGTCCACAATTTTGAAAAATAGTTTTCTCATTCTGGCGAAGATAAAAGAGTTGGTTTTTAACCTGTCCTACAGTATATTCAAAGCAAACATTATGAATATCATTAATATTGGGATATGAAAATATATTAGTCATATTCTCGCAGCTTACGAACATCATACTATGATCTCAGCGATTTTGATTTGAAACTGTTAAGGGCACGCAAACATAGTGAACTTTTATTATGGATTATGAGAAAAATTGTACTCAGACAATATCGTTCATCTATAGTTTAAGTAGTCCATTAGATCGAGCTCTTTGGAATCTTGCTCTTCCTCTTGAATTGGTGAGTCATCCCTTTCCTAAAATTCCATTTCACCATTACTCCCATTTAATTAAGACTTTTTCGTAATGAAACGTGTTAATTTGTGATTCAATAAAGTATTTCTTTTCCCTTTTATTGTTAACATTTTCCATCTCTCTTTTCATTCTTCTTTCATCTTACCAAAGTTACATCTTTCCTTCTCTTTGTTTCATTTTCTACTGTTACTATTAATGGCCACAATTGTTTGCAGGGGTCTCTGTCACTTCACTTCATTCGGGTTTTCTGTGTTTCATACATCTTTTTCCGGGTTTACTTTCCGAGTTCCAATTCTGGAGAAACTGTTTAGGGCAATCACGGATCAGCCTCATTTTTGTGTGGTACTAAGAAAACTACATAGAGCATATTTGTGCAGATTGAAAAATGATTGATTGATTAGTGATTCCGTGTACGTGTAAAATTGCTAGGGTCCCCTAAGTGTAGTGCATATTTTATGGCGTGAGGTGGCGGCCTTCTTCCCACGTTGGATGGAGAAATCTACTACCAAGAAAAGCACAGCGAAAAACGCTTTCCCTTTGATTTAACTTGTTGCGCGCTAGTGAAAAGGGTTTAAAAAAATTAAAAGTATATGTCATAAAAATTTGGTTAGAAGTCACTATACGATTGTCATAATACCACTTAGGCAACAGAGAATGTAATGTAATGCTGTGCGCAAAAACGGTGAACTTTTGGCATGAAAACTCTTATTACAGGGCACAGGTGAAGAAAAAGTGGATAAAGCCAGTTGCTAAATTTAGAAAAAAGTCCTTTAACACGTGGTGTACCATGAATCTATGCTTAGTAGGTCATTGATACTGAAAAATTTAGTGGCGGCAAAACGTTGGTCTGTCCATCCGTCTGTGAACGCTAGCGTCTAAACCGTTCGCCCGATTTTTTTGAAAATTTATTTTCTTCTATGAATTTGGCTGATCTCGCGGCACTTTGATTATAAAACCGTTATTTTCATTTTGAGGGAACTTTACTTGAATCTCCTGGTACATTTTCAAGAAATATGTTCATCGTTTTTTATTAAATTTCGTTGTTGGATAATGTGAAGGACGGTTAAGAGAATGGCGCAGGTCTTGTTTTCGTTGAAAACTCTGATTTTTTGAAAACTGCAATCATTCAAAATTTGTACTTCCTGTAATGAAATCTGTTCCTGAATGATTGATTTTGAAATAAGATCATGTACAATGTTTCGAAAATTTGAGTACTTTTCGCGTAATTTTGCGTGAAAATACGGTTGTGTTGTTTTAGCACCACTTGCTTTCGCTAGTTTCGCAATTTGCGCTGGTCAGAAGCGAGCGCGGTGTGTCGACAATTCATACGTGCCTGGGCTGCTGTTTATATGTTTTTAACAGGCTTGTCACCGGGCAAGGATCGAAAAGTTTTTTGGGTGATATTTTTCCTTTTGTAACGATTTTGAAACTTTTGTGTCAAATCTACAAAAACTTTTTCAGTTTCTTTACTTCTTTCTGTTTTTTATTATTTTTAATTCTTCTTCCTTACATCCTTTCTCGTAACATTCTTGAATCCCTCCCACGAATAATCAGCGTATCGAAATATAATTTATTCAGAACATTACATCACATAGCCGGGAGCCAATTAACCGGACGCTTCCTTGATGCAGTATACCTATCTCTCCGTTTCTCTTTTTCAATGAGAACAATTTTCTCCCAGAATCATATATACTTTTCGCACAGCTATTTCACATAAATACTTTTTCAACTCAAAAATATCTTTAAGCAAAAATCTCAATTGCATTGTTGTAATGGTGTGAAAACTACAACAATATTGAAAAGAGGATAAAGTGAAGACAGAAAATTTAGAGATTTCGAGGAGCATGTCAAATGTCAAGTGGATAGATAGAAAGGGAAACGTGTTTAGAAAGGTGGGATAGAACTAAGCTCGTCAACAGCCGTGAATATGATGTATTATGTCGAAATTGTTCAATAAAGAAGGTTTCGGAAAGCAGGTAGAGAGGGAGCAGAAGGAGAGTTCTTAATATATTTATAGTAAAAATCGAGGAAAATGTATGGGCAGAAATGTGGGGGAGAAATACAATCTGTGCAACGTCTCTTGAGGTCCAGTGACCCTACCACTCTTTTCTATACAGAGTTGAATTGAGAAGAGCCGTACTTCTAAATATAGTTGGCATTTGAAAATGGGAAATTTTTGCACCAGCTGAGGTGGTTCAGAGAACTATCTGAAATCAAACATAATGTAGGAACTAATCTACCTTCAAAAAAATAAAAAGAAGATAATATATCAGTTCTCGAAAAAGCACATAGTGTTGCCATTCTAGTGTCTCTACCCCGGAGGTCCTAGAGACGGAGTTCCTGTCGGTGGATGTATTTTGACATGAGTCGATACAAGTTGCCCAAGGTTACTATAATCAATACCGAGCGAATAAGAGAGGAGCAGCACCTTCAAAACGGGCCACCAAACGCCCGCGATCTTTCCTTCCTCTCTCTGTCCCTATACTTTCCCCTAACCGACACACACACACACACACACATTAACATGCACTACACTAGCTCACATATCGGGAAATCAGAAACTGATGTTAGGTGTTTTCTTTTTTGTTTAAAACGTCATGTGCTATATGCCATGGAATAATACAATCCAATCTCTCTGAAAATGTGCGTATAATATTCATTTCTATTTAAAATACGTTCAAAGTATAACCAGGTGGACGTGGATCGTCGATCTAGCTAAGGGCGCGGGTCCCGGGTTCGATTACTGCTCTTTCGAACACCCGTAATCTCCGCACAATGTATGCGCCTCATCTCTCTCGTGTGTATGTGTAGGGGGAGTTGATGTTTCGGAGGGCCTCGTGTTCTTGTATTTCTGATTTTAGGGGTTGGGATGTGTGTTTAAAGAGACATTTTATAGACGGTGAAAAGGATAGTGGGCTTCGGCTGAAAAATCTCTCCACAACAGTCCAAAATTAATGAGGAAAGAAACTAGAAACTTGATCTATTTCACAACCACCAAAGTATGATTTGATTTAATTTTTTTTTCGTAAAAAAAAAGTAGAAAACTGCTTTTAACGAATTGGGAGAAGTACAAATTACACCAGTTTACTGAGTTACAGCAATCCTACCCCATGCATTTACCATCACAAATTCGATCCATTCCTCGCACCTCCAGGTTACCAAACGTCCAATTCGGCCCACCCTCACCCTCACATCCCTCCAAATCACCCAATTCGGCCCACACATCCCGACGCGCAGCGCACCGAAGCGTCCAATTGGGTCCACCCTCCCGTTCGGCGAACGGCGCCGACGGCCCTCGCCACGTGCCGTCCGCCGCTGCGTCGGGCGGCGGCGACTGCGGCGCAGCTGATGCAGCTGATGGCGGCGATGGCTCGCAGCGTTCGCATCAGCAGCTGACCCCGCGCGTGCGAACCCCCAGGCCCGAGCCCCCTTCGGCCCCCCCGGCCGCCCGGGCTCGTATAAAACGGAGCGCTGCCCTGCTCTGGCCACAGCCGCCGCAGCCACCACCATCATGTGGGGCCTCCTGTTCCTCGCCCTCGCCGGTAAGTGCCCAGCCAAGGCAAAAGTCCTCGCAGCGCTCCAAATTTCATTTTGAAAATTTGGTCATTTCTAAAAGTTGGAATCTACATTTTTCGATGTAAGAGGAGAGAAATAATTCGCCAATCCTTAAGTTTTTTTTGTAAATATATAAAGGTAGAAATATATTGAATAATTTTATTAATTTAATGTTTTGAGTTACTTCACTAACAATTAAAATTTGTAGTATATAACCAAAAGTTACTCCAATGGCCCAAATTTGGCGTGTTTTGACAAAAATGATATATTGAAAGCTAGAAGTATATTAATAGCGTGTGGACGAATTATTCCATTTACAAAGAGCGAAATATTTCTGGTACATCCCACAGATCGTCTGCAGACAAATCCCAATACATCGTTGAGGAAGCTAGGGGATGGAGTATATTAAGTTATTTTAATATAAAATCAGAAGCTTCTCCATACGTATCTTTTCCATAACAAAGAAATTTGATAAGCAAAGAGAAATTTAATGAAATCAAAAATTTGAAATATATGAGCAAAATTTGATATTTGCTACATTGTTCGATTTATACGGAGTGAAATATTGTTTGAAATGACCCCCATAGAAAATATGACAAAAGGTTCTATGATATAGTTATTTTCCATTCTACTCATTAAAGTGAAGCTCAGAACAAATTGTAAGCAAGATAATATATTTACAATTATTTTTATTAAATGTATACCTGTATATCTGAACTAGGTACTCATTGACAGTTCTCACATGAAGTAGCTTCTAATAGGGGCATCATGGCATAACTCAACAATAAATGGGCTGCAAATGAAGTTTTTATACTGCCATTGCATTCTCAAAACAAAGCCAATCTTGCAGTACGCGCAGTTCAGTTGTAATAAATTAATTAGCAATAGCTTTCGAGCAAGAAAATAAAGCAGTACAATGGTTGTGTTTGTTTTTCAGGGTGTTCCTTGGCTTCTGCAGGGTGGCCCACTAAACCTCCCCACCCCATTCCAAGGGAGCCTGGTAAGTTCTGCACTTCTTCAATCACAATGCACTAAGAGACATACACTCCTTCACTCTGTGAAGGAAATAAAACATCCAGAAACAAAGTTTTCTTAATACTCAACATACTCTGGCACAGCATGGCCCGTTTTAGTACATAATAAATTATACGAGTCGGAAAGTGCCGTGCTGACCCTTACTGTGATCTCGAGTATTTATAAAAGTGTGCACCACATTTACGAGGATACCTATCGATAAGCTCGACCAGAAATAAACTAGAGCACAGAGAAACATCGAACTGAAAGTAAGGCTGTACTGTTTCATTGACAGGCTGGGATTATGGCGCTGTGTACATCTACAAGCTGAGGGGTCGCTCTCTGGCTTCCAACAACCAGATCGACGACAAGTACTCTGGCGTGCTGACCAAAGCTGAGCTTGAGGTCGCGCTGGACGGGATTCGACCTGATCGACTCAACGTCCACGTGCTGCAGCCTGAGTATGCGCCCATCCAGAGTAGGCTGTCTGGTGGATGGGGCTCCCAGCCTGACGAGAAGCCCTCCTTCAATAACCTGAAGCTGGAATACCCTGTCTTCGCCATCGCCCTGAAGAACGGCGTGGTACGTTCCATCCAAATGCTAGCTCACCTATTACGTACGTTTGATTATTGGATTGAGCACGAGAATGACCCATATTCAGTGATACCGTACTTTATTTTTTCTTTCACAAAACGTATTGAAATTTTATCTACACTCATCAAAAAATTATGACCCTAACAAAAAATAAATTCTAGTACTAGAGAGCTCTTTCGTTTTCCCGAAATTGGAGAACATTGCGCTTGACTGGTTTCTGAAATAAACGATTCAGTTAACGAAATAGCCATCTTCGTTACCATACATAGTTGCGTTGAGCGCAAGTAAAGTTTTCAAGCCCGGATGGTTCTAGGATCGACTTCAGATATAGATTTTCAATACCGTCTAAATGGAAAAGTAGGCCGGGATGGAAATTATAGAGGTCAGTTGCTTTGATCGGCTGTTTCCGTGGCTAATTTTCGTGATTAAATCCAGCTGACGCCGGAGAAGTGATTTAGAAGAAATAAGCTACTGACTATCTGCAGTCTTTCCTTCCTTCCTGATAAAAGCTCATTCGCAACTCGTCGAATACATACTGTTTCGCCCGAAAGAAGTATTAATCTTCAATAGAATTTCGCTTCGATCATCATGAAAGATTTATTGCATGTCAGGCATGCCAATAAGGAAAATATATTTTGATACATCAACATCATTAATTCTCCATCAAAACTGAATGCACCGTATTATAGTGCTTTGATAGAAGAATACCTTAACGTATATCTTTTCCCCCAGGCGCAAGAGATCATAGTTCACAGCAGTACAAAGAGATGGGAGGCTAACTACTACCGCTCCATTGCTACTGCATTGAGCACCAACCTCCAGCCCAGCTCAGCGGCTGTGTTGAAGAAAGCCATCAACTCCCAACCCAGCAAACTCCACGCTTTTGGTACATACGTCGTCATGGAGGTAAGAACAGAATGTTTCTCAGTCGTCTATCCAGTACCAATTTTTCCTGATCATACAATTGTTTGCTTTCAATATCGTTATCTTTCAAATTAAAGAGCTTTTGCTGCTTCCAGAATAAGTTCCTTTTTGTCAATTGGAATTGTGTTTGCAATGTAGAACTATTCGATGATTGCTTTCGTAAAAAACAACATATTGGATAAATTGAAATAATCTACGCACCAAGCATTTACTTACATGTTTCGTAAAGTCAGTTATTTTACCTCATTGAATTGAAAACATTCAATATGTTTTCTTTTGCAGGGAACCTTGAACGGTAACTGTAGTACCAGGTACGACCTGTCGCCACTGCCAAAATACAAACTCCAATCTATGGCGCACTGGGCCCCTGCTCTCAACTTGACTGGCAACGAGACGCTGGTTAATGCAGTGATTACCACCAACTTTAGCAACTGCAAGAGACACGTCCTGTACCACAACGGACTCTCTGCGAAGGACCAGAGCGATAACGGCGACCCGACAGTTGGCAACGCTATCGCGGTAAGGGCAATATTTGAATATTGCGAGCGTTCTGCACAATGTTTCCCTTCCAAGCCGTTACGAAAATTGGAAAATTTCATACACCAAAATTACTTAATAATACAATTTCTATGATCTTAAATCTTTTATCAGCCTAGGATTTTATCAGTGTAGTTTAGAGATAATTGTACACAGCCGTTACAAGTTTAAACAACTTTCAACTTCATTTAATATGTTTCTCGTATATGCAACAATATCCGATAAACTACATGGAATATATCAATTACACATCCTCCGATAATTCTCTTTAAGAACACAAAAGGGATATTTCCTTTAAGCTTTGTTAAACATTTGACTTCTGCAGATAGATTAAAAACTGAGAATGGTTTTGTTTGTTTCAGCATTCATTCGTGAAACGCATGATCATTGCAGTGAACACGGCCGGCGTCAATTACAACAATTACACAATCATGTCTACCGTTGCCGCGAGCCAGGTTGAAGCTAGCCCGCATTTCTACAACAACCAGAAAAGCAAGGTGAACAGTCGCATGAACATCACTTTGAAAGAAGAGAAGTGGGGCACATTTATTTCTGGACCATCTCAACCCCAAGCACGTCCCTTGGAGTTCCAGATAGTGAACAAACGCGATGTTGCACCTGCATCCAACAACAACAACAATAACAATAAGGATTATGATTACCCTGAGAACGCCCAAGGCAGTCAAGATGTTGATGAAATATTAAAGAACCTTCTGCATTCCCGTTTGGCAAGAGCTGTAAACAATGACGAAGAAAACGAGAGCAGCAGTAGCAGCAGCAGCAGCAGTGAGGACAGCAATGATTCATCAAACAGCGTCAGCAGCATTGAAAGCAGCGATAGCAGCAGCAATAGCAGCAGCAGTGACAGCAGCAGTAGCAGTGACGACAGCAGCAGCAGCAGCAGCAGTGACAGCAGCAGCAGCAGCAGTAGCAGTAGCAGCAGCAGCAGTGACAGTGACAGTGACAGTAGTAGTAGTAGCAGCAGCAGCAGCAGCAGCAGCAGTAGCGAAGAAGACCCATCCTTGCTTGTGCCAGCCCTCAACAATCCATCCATCAGCCCTTCCCGACCAGCTCCCTCACCCAGTGACCGCCAGCAAATCGTGAAAAACATCATCAAACTTGCGAAGGAAATCGGTCACGATATTGCCCAAGATAACTGGAACCACCAGAACCACTACCCTCTACAAAAGTTCATGTTACTCGTGACTTACGTTCGCCTGGTTGACCTTGTGCCACTTGTCAGAATCACCAGTCAACTCTACGTCCCACCCAAGGAGAACGGTGCAAATCCCGACCCACAGCGCCTTGCATGGTGAGTATTGCATTCTTGTGATAACGAGTAACGTGGTAATTATACCCAAAAGAAATATTGAATGTGCAGTAAATATTTAAATTATGGGTTTTCTTTCGTAATTTTACCCATTTTTACGCAGGCTGAAAGAAAATTAGTCCTGTAAAATGCTTTTAACAGCACCGTCTGCGAAAATCAACTTTACACACGATTAACAATACAGGAATGAAATATGTGAAATAAGTGTTTTAAATTATTTTATTACAGGTTGGCTTTCCGCGACGCCGTGGCTGAAGCTGGTACTGGTCCTGCCCTGGTTACAATCAAGTATATGATGCTTCGAAACATCATCAACCAGGACGAACTCGCTGCTATACTTAGAGCTCTCCCCAGAGCTGCCAGAGCTCCTAGCCAACTCTACATCAAATTCTACTTTGTACGTATCAGGGGTTGTGCCTTTGAAAAGCCAAAATAATTATCCTAAACGATCTTACCTTTCACAAATTCCCTGAAATATATCATCCGTTTTTGTAGTACTTTCCTAAAATAATTCTCTCGTAAACTGCAAAGGAATGGAAAAGATCTCATCCTATCTTATTTTCACAGAAACACATCGTGCTGGCCATTGACGAAAAGAAGGAATATGACAATACCACGTATATCCCAGCTGTGCTCACCTTTGCAGATCTACTGCGCCAAACTTTCACTGATAAAGACTACGCCGAGAGTCACTACCCTGTGCACACCTACAAGAAACTGTCCCAAGGAAAGAGCGATGTTGAAGACACGTACTTGCCGTACCTCTTCCAGAAATTCAACAGATCCGTGGCAGAGCAAAATACCACCTCCAAGCAGTTCTTCATTTTGGCCATCAACCGAGTCGCTCACAAGAGCGTCCCTCAGCTTTTCCTACCCTTCTTGAGCGGTTACGTTAACAAGACTCGCGTCACCATCTTTGACCGCATGGCCATCATGATGGGAATGATCAAGTTAGCGGATGTTTACCCTAAACAAGCGCGCGAACTAGCATGGAACATCTACCAGAACGTTGGCGAAGCGTACGAAGTGAGGAATGCTGCTATTCTCGTCATCATGAACTGCAACCCGTCCGCCGCGATGCTGCAACGCATGGCAAGCTCCACCAACTTCGAAACGAATCTGCAGGTTGTGTCGATGGTGCGAAGTGCCATTCAGAGTGCTGCACAACTCTCCGATCCCGACGATCAGGAACTGTAAGTAGTGGGATACGGCTATTCCATTGTCTTAAAAGAAAATGAGGTTTTGGTTCAAATTTCAATTTCTCGAAACATGTAATTATGATCTGAGTGATATGTTTTCCATTTGTATCATAGGATACTACACACATTTACTATTATATAGGAAATGATATGATCATCAACTCCACCTTTTTCACGCATCAACGCTCTAAACAATCATAACTGCAAAAAAATTAACAACCATGAGAAACAAAAACAAAACAGATACCGAATCATGCAACTCAATAACGTAATAGTTTTCTAATTTTTTCTATGCTACTATCACTGATGTTTTTCACAGGGCCAACAATGCTCAGACTGCTCTTCATCTCCTCAACCCCAATCCCGTGAGCATTCACTATTCACGAACCCAGTACAAGGATTACTCTTCCATGGAGGAGCTTGGCGATTTCGGCTACAGCCTCGAAGGGGCATTCATCGGCAGTCGCGACCACATTATTCCCAAGGCCTTCAACGTTCGTATTCACAAGTTCATGGGACAAATGGCGTTGAACCCACTGAAGGTATCCGAGTGCCAATAAAGTCTCGCTACGACTATGTCATCTTGAACATGGTATTACAGCGTAAATTTTACTTCCAGTTCTCTGCTATGGTATCCAGTATCAATAAATTGATCAAATTGTGGTACGGATGGGACAACAGAGTCCCCAACCAACCCAATCCTTCAGTCAATAGCGACGGCTTCATCAATATGGGACCTCGGGGAGAGCAGCCTCTTCAAGGACAATTTGAATACCCATTCCCGGCAGGAAATAAGTTCCTCTTCTTCAACAATGATACCATCGCCTCCATTCCCGAATGTGATTATCTTTTCTATATTAATGTATTAGAATTACATTGTTCTCGATAGGAGGAACAACAATTCAATAATTGTCATTTTGTTTTTAGTAATGAAGGAGCTGGCAGGTAAATTAAGGAAAGGACAGAACATCGAATACACTAAGTTATACTTAGGTTCTCGCATGACGCACGCTATCCCTGATGCTATTGGTAATGGCTTGATCTTCAGTAGCCAAGAACCAATCATGGTGCATGTTGCCGGCGAAGTGAAAGGTGCATTGCTTCAATCTCCGGAACACCAGAACAGCGAGCAACAATACTATAACAATTTCCCTAACATCGCGAAGTTGTTGGAGAGTTTCCGTAGGGTGGAAGTTCACGCCGACCTTCAAATCAAGTATGAAAAAATACTGCTCACGATGTTTACACGCATTTGATCTAGAAAGCATGTGGTGTAATTTGTGCTATTTTTATTTTAACAGGATTGGCTACGCCCGTTCTGGTAAGATCATGATGAGGAACTACTTCGATAAGGAGCCTATGCTTTACATAGCCTCTGTAGACCAGACCGCAATGATCAAGAACGAATTCTCCGCTAACATAACCTATTACTCCCGTTACGACGCCCTCAATTTCCGTGGCGTAGACATCACTCTGAAGCCCAGCAACAATCGCGAATCCACCATCGCTCAGTACGTCAACGAGCCGTTCATCACTAAGCAGCCAGCCCTGGCCGCTTACCCCGCTGTGCTCAGCGCCAACAAGGAAATTGTGCACAATCGACAACCTGAAAAGGTAGATGTAGATAGAGTTGATGTTGATGTTCTTCCATTTATTTAAGTGCACACCGATGCTGATCACATTATCTTTCCTACAGTGGTCTACTCGCTTCGGCCCCAACAAGGCATTCGAAATCCAAATTTCTTCTGAAAACTTCCTCGACATGTCTGTGGTCCCCCGCAAAATGCAAGGCCGGGATTTCATCTCTTTGATTCTCTTCCCCATGATCGAGTCCGAAAGTACATTCCAGAGTATGAATATCACGTACAACCCACAGCGTATGAAGCAATTGCGTTTCGCAGTGGCGACCTCTTTGCGATCGGCAGTGAACGAGCCGCTGAACAAGCTTAAGCCGCTTAACGCCAGATACCGACGCAGCGATCCCGAACACCGTCTGCCCTCAGGTAAAATAAAATATTTAGAACAAAGTATTATCCACAAATTGTAATTCTATTCCAGGCTTTGACTAATATAATTGTTTCAGATGCTTACTCACGCCTCGTACGCGTTGGAGTTTATGCCAAGCTCGATGATGGTGTTCAAGCATGGCAGTCGCAGTTTAATTTGACCCGTAGCGATATCCGAAATAACGATTATCTCAACATCCTTTACAACCAGACTGCTCCTCATAGTCAAGGTGGACCCGTGGTGGAGAACATGAACTTCAGTTTGAAGGCTAACTGGTCTTACATGCCCCTTTATTACACTAGGGAAACGCCCTTCCTGAACCCCAACTCCAGCATCCAGGCGAACCTCACGTACTTCAGTAAGAACCAGAATATGAAGATCAAGATGCAGGTACTATGACAACCATTCTTCGAGCGATTGCCTGTATCTTCTAAAGGTGGCGATCTTCTAAAGAAAACCGCTTTATATTTTGTAGGGTTACCTGAACAGAACTAGCCAAAGACTGCAGTACTTGAAGAACGACTCCAGCGTGAAACAGTGCCTCCAACAGATGAAGCAACAATACGAAATGCAACCCGCCTGCCTCAACGTTACCCGCCGCTGGGGACAGCTGGACAACTACCAATTCAACTTCACCTTCGAAAACCCGACGCCATTCTTCGTCAACACGTCCTACCAGCTTCTGATGAAGCTGTACGACAACCTGGAGGATTACTCCAGTATCAATTGGCATCACCGTGGCCAGCAAAACAAGGCGCAACTGAACGTGTCGTTCAGCCCCTCGCTGCGAGCCGTCAGTTGGCGCTTCAGCTCCCCGCGCCTCAGCGCCCAGTTCCAGAACGTGCGTCTCCCGCCCGTGCTCTCGCGCGCCCTGTCTGCGCACCCGGGGCAGAGCTTCCTGCAGCGCGTCAACTACGCCAATTTCCTCGGACAAAACATGCGTAAGTCTCAATACATCTCTAGCTGTTTCATGGCTTGTAGGCCAACTTAAAGTTCAATAGAAAGTTGTCAAACCTGTAAAAAGCCTTGGCGCGCTGACGCTTGGAGCATCATTCAAGCACGCAGAACACCTGCTGCAGGTTCTGTTTTCGCATAAGTCATGATTGTTTTCACAATGTAGGCGAGGATCAGTTGTCTTCTTATACTCTCCCCTACACCATCTCTTATTTTAACCATCCTATTCATCCCATATTACTGTATATCATTTTTTCATCCTATTCATAATCATACAGCTCTCAACAGCATTCATTATTCATCGCCCATAGCGTGGAAGAACCTACGAAAACGGACATCTAGAGGTTCAAGCTTCCTTTCCCCCTGCGATCAGTAATTATGTGTGCCTGCCTCTAACGCCGATACGTAACTGACGTAGTTGCTGTTTACCATTATTTTTATTTACTGGATACGTCTATTTTCATGGCTCAGCCATAGATATCATACTTATCTTATTAAAATGAAAATTCGTTCTTTACACGGTAGATGTCATGAAATCGGATGATATAGTACGTATTCATTTCTTGCGGAAACTATTATGATATTGATGACCCGTTGAAATGCTAGTTGAGATTATAAAATATTTGGTAAATTCGACATGAGCATCAGATATTTATACAATGCTAATACATTTTTACTAATACATGAATACTCAAGCGATAATAATATTATTTGTTTCTAGCCAAAGCTGTTATCGACGCATGGAACATCACTACCTTTGATAACAAGACGTACGCTATCCCTAAGGGAGGTCTCGGAAGATGCTGGCTGGTTGTTATGACTCGCAATAAATACAGCACAAATCCTCTGAATAACGTAACTGTGGTTGTTCATGATGAAGGCCCACAACACAGGGTAAGTTCTTAAATGAGATGACTGTTAATACTATATTTTACCCTACAATCAATTAAAGATGTATTTACGATTAATTTTACTTTTTAGGTCTACCGTCTCATTACCCGCACTCAAGACGTCTGGTTGGTACCTTCACGACCTTCAGGAAGACAATTCAATTTACTGTTGGCGGATGATAATGTCGGCGTGAATATCCTTAAAGGAGGCTACAATCACTACGTCATTTCGGGTAAGAATGCCACCAGACACGTCATTCAGACCCAGAACGAGCAGACGAACATCATATATTCCGAAAATAATAAGTATGTTGAAGCCAGTGTTCTGAATAACACCGTCAGAGCTGTGTACGATGGAAGGAGGCTCATTTTGTTGGTGCCCAACTCATATCGCGCTGACGTGCGTGGTCTGGCCGGAACACACACTGGAAACGAAATCACAGATTTCTCCGACAAGAACGACCTTGTTTTGCGCCATCCTAGAGAATTCATCCTCTCCCAACAGTACAAACCCGAGGAATGTCTCTTACATGAAGAGCCAAGTCCTCGCTTTTCGAAGGATATCGTCCTGGGTTTCTTCAATGGCACTATCAAGGGCTCATCGCCTCGCCCCAGCGACGACGACGACGACGACTCCAGCTCCAGTTCCGATTCTAGCTCCAGTTCCGATTCTAGCTCGAGCTCTGATTCAAGTTCCAGCTCAGATTCTAGCTCCAGCTCAGATTCCAGTTCTGACTCTAGCTCAAGCGATAGTTCCATCTCAGACGGTGCCAACGATCCCAATGGAAACGATAGCTCTGACTCCAACTCCGATGAGGACTCAAACAGCTCCAGCTCAAGCTCCAGCTCAGATTCGGACAATGACGACAATGCTAATCCCAAGAAACAGAGCTTTAAGATAGAAAATAATCCGAAGCAAAGAAGTCAAGACTATCATGAATTTTTACAAAAGAGTCCCAAACGTGGACTAAAGAGAACCGCTGTGAAGGTGTTGAATGGCGGTAAACTGTACTGCTTCACCACGGTACGCATTGGAGTCTGCTTACCTCCTTACCAACCTAAGAAGACTAAAAACGTGAAAATTTCATGCCACTGCGTGAACAAGAGCGAGCTGACTGATCACTGGAAGTTACAATTGGAGAAGGGGCAAGATATTGACTTTAGCAAGAAACCGGCGACCAAAGTGATCTCTTTCCAAGTTCCCGAGTATTGCGAATAAGTGCCCAATGACTCAAGAGAAATCACTGAAAGATTCACTGAAATCTTAAACAATAATGTAATAATTGTCCAATAAATTTGAGATGCAATCAATATGTGTTCTCCGCTGTTATGCTTACCTTCAGAAATAGTTTTCCCTGTCCTTATTTAGGACATAAAGCAAATATCCCAAAATCAAACTTTCCTCTCAATTACTTCCCTCATATGTTTCACTCAACCCTCAAATTTCAGTACACTAGTTCAACGTAAGATTAGTATTTATTACTGAGTTTCGAATGTCCCCCGTATTTAAACGTGCACTCATTAATAAGTGCTTAATATTGATGATTAATACTTTATTTCAACCGTCCTTGATTAATATTTTATTTCGAATGTGCACGCTTGTAATGAGTGTAATAAAAGTCACAATACAAATCATCTACTACTCTCATCTTCTACTCTCATCATCTTCTACTCTCATCATCTACTACTCTCATCATCTACTACTCTCATCATCTACTACTCTCATCATCTACTACTCTCATCATCTACTTCTCTCATCTACTACTCTCATCTACTACTCTCATCTACTACTCTCATCTACTGCTCTTATCTACTGCTCTCATCTACTACTATCACATACTAGAACGTTCTTGCGAAACCTATCTCTTTAGTTTTTTCAAATTTCTTAAAATAAACCACATACCCCGGTACGTTCGCAAGTTGAAATGCATTCTACGAAATGTGGCAAGATAAATTAAAAATACTGATAAAATGATTGCCGGCATTGAAGCCAAATACCAAATTCTAAGCAAACCATTTTCATAGGCAGCATTTCATGATGTGTATCTTTACTTTTATGATCAAAGTAGATAAAGAAGATTTACCCATTTTCCCAGGGCGCCGCAGTAAGAGTTTTCCCGGTAAATATTCGGCATTTTACGGCTCATGACTACAAAACTTTCTTCTTACAAAGTAAGGGGGGGATATAAATTCCAATTGATTTGGATTCGAATTTTTAATTTTAAGATAAAAAAAATCAGAACAGATGAGAAACGTGATAAGTTAATACAAATATTTCTTTAATGATCATTTTTTCAGTAATTCTATTTTTAGTTAATTTCCAGTTCAACATTCATCTTCCTTTGATCTTCAGATTCTTAGAGGCCATTGAGCTTGTAAGAACCTGAAAGTGGAGGAAACAATGCACCTCTGAAACGTCATTAGTTTAAAATATAAACAAAGAAAGAACAAGTGATTGTCGAAAAATATGTGGACCACTCAATGTGACCTTCGGCACTTATTGTCAATCGTCGATACATTGTGATATCGTCATATTTTAGACACACCAAACACACAAGAATTAGCTCTCTATACCACCATACCCGTAACTCTGATACATAACTTATTACCTTTCTGATGAACGAATAATGAACATACAATATTGAATTGATATTACTGCATATACTCAGAGTACAGGGAGGAAAAATATTGGAATCTCCACAACAATACGATCTCGAATTTTTCGGTTGTAAAATATATGTTTAAACGTCTTTTGAGATATAAGTTTACACCCGGGATTAAGATATATTAGCGTTGTTCGAAACATTATAAAAATGGGTGTCGATGGCGAGGAAGCTTGTTGTACACGAAGTTTTATAGAACAATCGGGATGTTTGTACACATGAATGGATGGATATGTCATGAATAACTCGGTCAGCTACGAAGACTGAGCTCGAACTCGATAATCGCTTCGGGAGAAAGATCTAGTTTTGTATTTCAAAGAGTCATTACGGTCATAACTTTTGAAGGCAGTTTACTTGATCCTTACTGATCCTGTGACTGACACCTATGATCTTTTCGAAATTTTCTGAAAAATGGCTGTTTTTTTTAAAAATTCCTTGCGCGAATAGAGGGAAGTTAATAAATGAATATGGTATCGTTTGAATTTTCCTTGGAACATCTGAAAGCCTGAAGTTCAATTTTTTCGAATCTGACATCTGTCTGCCCTCTGTCGTGACAGCCCACTAAGGGCCAGTGGCCGAGACTCTCAGCCATGGGAGAAGGGGTTCGTGTGGTTGACACGAAGACAGCTTTTGACCGTATATAACCTTAGATTGGGTGTTCCATCGTCATTATTTTGCCCCGTCCAGGAATCGAACCCGGGGTTGGCGTGGAAAGCGAGCGCGCTAACCCACGAGCCACCAGGAAGGTCCGAGTCTGGCGTACATAGCTAATATTCAAGCCAGAGATTTATTTCTAAATGCATCTTTTCCCTCAATTTCATTCTATATACGTCGCGAACAATTAAAAAAAATAATGAATAGTTTTTGAGTAATTTGTACGCAAATTGTAACATTTTCCCCAAAATATGTAAATCAGAGTAAGAAAAGTTTCCGTAAGCCGGGCATTCCCATTAGTTTTTTTGAACTATTTATTTCTTTTATGTACTATTATGTACACAATGTACTATTATGTGCTATCATTTTAAAAATTGACTATTAAACTGTTCACGGAAAAGTAATGCTTCTATCACAAGGGAACAGCGTGTAAAAATTCTTACCATTTATTTAATTTGTAAACTTGTGTAAAGAAACAGATTTAAACAAGTTATGACGCGACCAATCATGGGAGGTAAGCTATTTTACGTTTTCCTCCTTTGATCAGACCATTTGACGTTACTAATCGCGTAACTTTTCTTTGCCGATGACCTTGCTTCCCCTCTGGCACAATAAACAGTTGAAGGCAAAAACTCGCAGCGAACGCAGATGTCAACATATCAAACACACCTTTACTGCCGAGAAGTAATAATTATTTTCTGTTGAAGATAACTTCTGTTCGTGTTTTTTTTCAAAAAAATCTAAAAACAAAATGACTGAAGCAGGTGAATATTCATCACAGGAGATATCTCAAACTCCAGAAAAAGTTGGAACGCAAATTTTTGAGACAGTTGCGAAGGCGTGATTGATTCTCCAGGGATTGACATTGCTTCATAAAATTTCGTGGCCGATTGCGAAACTGATGCCCCCAGTGCATCCCCATTTCTTCAATCCAGCGGTCAAGAAAAATTAGTAATACCTGTTAGATGCGAGACCAGTTAGACGCGCGAGTAATACCTGATTGTCGTAATGAGGCTAGACAGATAGAGAACGCGAAGTGTAAAAACAAGTAACAGGAATTTAGGGCAACTGAAAAACACAGACTATTGATTGATTGATTGATTGTATGTACTATTGAATGAATGAACGCACGAACGATCGAATGAATGAATGAATGGTTGAATGAATGAATGAATGAATGGTTGAATGAATGAATGAATGGTTGAATGAATGAATGGCTGAATGAATGAACGATCAAATGAATGATGATCGAATGATGATGATCGAATGAATGAACGATCGAATGAATTAATGAAAGATAGAATGAATGATCGAATGGATGAATCAATGATCGATTGAATGAATGATCGAATGGATGAATCAATGATCAATTGAATGAATGATTGATTGAATGAATGAATGAATCAATGTATGTATGTGTGCAAGTATGAATGCATATATGCAAGTATGCACGTATGTACTTATTTATTTATTTATTTATTTATTTATTTATTTATTTATTTACTTATTTTTTACTTATTTATTAACTTACTTATATATTTATTTACTTACTTATTTATTTACTTGTTTATTTATGTACTTATATATTTATTTTTTATTTATTTTGTATATATTATTTTTTATTTTTAACCAGATGTGACGAGCTATGAGGAGAATTTAATTTGAAGTTATATTTATGTCATAATTGAGTTCCAATATAACTATCATGACTAGGTTAGTAGCCGAAATAATATAAACATTTGGGATAGATAAAAATATTGTAGAAGAGCGTAGAAAGAATACAGCATATTCAAACGAAGGATTCATTTTATTACAATACTAAAACACATCACTTGAAAAAAACGAACCGCAATCACGAATTATATATTTCATACTCACGAAAGCTCTCGTTAACCATGGTAATAGAAAGAGGGTTGTTTGGGGTGGATGGGGCCAGATGTCTACTTTTAAAGTTTCATTTTATTCATTTTATTTACGATTTTCATTAACAAAAATACCTAATAGCATACGTGTGTATCATTTAAAATAAATCAATTTATTACCCTGGAAATGAAAAAATCGACTTCCTCTCATCAGAATCGTATTTTATAATAAAAATATATTAACTGCTTTGGGAAAATCATGGTGGTAGCTTTCCTTTTGTAATTACATAAAAGTACTATGCACTATAAACTTTCATACAGTATATAAATCAATATTGAATTGACACAATACTGTTATGATATAATTAAATCTTAGAACTATTACTACTAATGATAATTTGTTTTCAATTTAGTTTTGATTTTACCCACATTCAATGATCAGTCTCTAGCAATACTGAAGGTAATTAAATCCATTTTGTTTATTGTTCGAGTAGTAAAAGAAAATTTTATTTCTTAATTGCTTCAAGTACATACTCCCTTAAATATTTCAAATACGCTCCAGTATTTGCTTTAAAGCACGTGTTGTTTAAAATGTATGATAAAACAGAAAACGTACATGCATAAGTAAAAAAGATTTGATTGTATACTATTCCTTACAAAATAAACAAAAAAATACCCCAGATCATACAACTCGCAAGGAGGAAAAGGAAGCTTAACTAAACATGCGCTTAGTGGTTGCATTAATGTCAGGAATCAAAGCGAGGAACCATTTCACTGTTTGCTCAATAAATCAAGGGGAAAAAACCTGATTGAAATCCTAAATATAACCTCCTATTTAAATGATAAAAATATCAAAACAGGTAATTTTCAAGAGATGTCTTGTAGGGGGTGTTATATTTGTGCGTGAATACATTATTTGTAAATTAATCAATACATCATCTTCAAATTTCCTTTAGTGTACACGTGTGTCGGTATATTGGCCCGCCAATAGGAAATGTCCTAATTGGAAGAAACTCTTTTAGAACTCTGGTTATGTATCATGATATTATCGGAGAATTTTAACTGAGTCATAAATATCCCACAAAATCTGCCACTAATCTTGTAGATACTTCCAATTTAAGTTACTTAGAGC